ATATATATATACGATGGGCAATATTCAATTGGGCAAGTCTTATTTTTTTTTAAGCTGATCAATATATCTTACCTACAAGACAGCCAGAATAAATGAATTCACACTCTGCTCATTGCATAAATACGATGCAATCAGCTCATACCAGTGTGCATCTGAAAAGCAATGTCTTCCTATCCGCCATCTTATGTCAATAGCTAGCATTAGACGAGAACTGATATTTAGTGAGGTATCCACATTCACTTATATAACTTATGTCTGAAGCATACAGGACAATCTGCTCTTAATAGGAGCTAATAAAGCTGTAAAACTGAAGACAGATGTAAATATAACAGCAATGAATCACAATGTGAAAGGAACTGATAATTTAGCATTGATTGCTGCAATTAGCCAGGACCAGACCCTCTGTGGTGCTGCTACATAAGGCAAAATAGATCAAAAGGTGCTGTCATAATGAACAGCCAGTCAGATACATACTTCTATTTTTTTTAAAACTCCACAAAAGTAATAGTTAATCTCGGACCAAATTTTACTTGTCCTTCGCTGTATACTGCAGGCATGTTTTCGGTAATATTGCTCTGTCTTTGAAGCTATTTTAACAGTGGAGGTTCACAACTGCTTGAAAATCGGTCTGCAGTCTGTATAAATTCCCCGTAAAAACAGCAATTTTCTTGTCAAAACACTGTTCCTTCGGGAACAAAACTAAAAACTGCTGAATTGCCAGTTAAAATTATAAATATACCTTTCTCAAATCTAGACCGTTCATGTAAATAAAAACTTTTCTGTAGTGTATAATGACAGAGCTGTTTGAAATTAAACCTCAGGACTACCAAGTAATTCAGCTTTTTTTAACCCAGACATTGCTGTAGTCCACCAGCCCTCTCTTTTTCTGCAATCCGGTTATCCTGAAATGGACATTGCCGTAGTCCACCAGCCCTCTCTTTGTCTACAACCCAGTTGTCCTGAAACATACATTGCTGTAGTCCACCCCTTTGTCTACAATCCAGTTATCCTGAAATGGATATTGCTGTAGTCCACCAGGCATCAATTTGTCTGCAATCCAGTTATTCCCGAAATGGACATTGCTGTAGTCCACCAGTCCTCCATTTGTCTACAATCAAGTTATCCTGAAATTGACATTGCTATAGTCCACCAACACTCCCTTTTGTCTGCAATCCACTTATCCTGAAATGGACAGTGCTGCAGTCCTCCCCACTCCATTTTGTCTGCAACCTCATAAGAATGCGCTCCTGTGCTGTCTACTCTTGCAAGATGTAGGATGCACATCTTGTCTAGTAAGTGACATCACTGGTGCCTAGGTGAGGGATCCAGCAGCCGTGTTCTAAGTCTACTTTTTTGTATGTGTGACGTTTTTATACAGGAGTGGGACTATTACATAGTGTGGCCTTGCGTTTTTTTGTCTGCCACCCAGACATTCTTTTTTTTTATTGCAGAGGGCAATTTGCATACAGTAAGGAGGCATGTTAGAAGACTGCATTAAAATGTTTCCATGATACTTAACAGTAAAATATAAAAGTCCAATTGTAGCAGTTATTCTCCAGCTTCATAGTACATACCAGATTCAGAGCAGTGAATCACCGCACAGTCTCAGTGGTCCTACCCAAAACTAGC